ACCTTATGATTGACATCTTTAAAAGGCTTCTATGGCCTACAAAGGCCTTGGGTAAATGGAGGCTCATTTTATTATTTGATCCAGTCTTCCTAGCTACCTTTGCTTGAGCTCTGTTATGTGACGGCAACTATTTATTTTTGAATAGGGAGGGCATTTCCTTTACCCAGTAATTATGCTGAAGGCTCATACAGCTAGCCATGTTTAGCAGAAAAGTGAATGTGTGGATGGGAGGAAGTCCGTCACTATAAGGGATACAGTTTTCTGAACTAGGCTTAGATGTTCAATGACAATCTCACTAAAAAGAGGTCTAGATATTTTGACTGCTATTTTCATATCATGGTGAAACATAAAAACATTTAAAGCTTTTCTAAACCAACATGACAGTGTGTATCTAGAACAGATTCTAGAGAAAATCCTACTACACAGTACATTTTATTTTCTAAAATACTTTGTTTTTCAGGAAGTGGGGAATGTATGTCAAGGCACATGTGTGGCGGTCAGGGGACAACTCGCAGGAGTTGGTTCTCTTACTGCAGTGGTTCTCAGCCTTCCTAATGCCGCGATGCTTTAATACAGTTCCTCATGTTGTGGGGACCCACAACCGTAAAATAATTATTGTTATTATTTCCTAACTGTAATTTTGCTACTGTTATGAACTATAATTAAGTATTTTCAGAGATAGAGGTTTGCCAAAGGGGTTGTGACACACAGGTTGAGAATCACTGTTGTTCTAAATGGAACCCAGGGATTGAACTCTGGTGGCCGACTTGGTGACAAGTGCCTTTCTCACTGAGCCACCTGGTGCCAGTCCCATATGCCAAATTATCTATCTGCTCATAATGGGCAACTCAAAATTTTTTCATTTTATGTAGGCCCATATTTCTATATGGCATGGCAGCCAAGCCATCAAGCCATAGGCCACACCTGAGATGGGTCACATAGCCCTGTAGACAGGCTGTCACTGTCCTAACAAAGGGTCAGGATGTTGTTTCTCCTTTCTTTGTAATTTGGAGGATGCCTGATAGAGATGTGGATTCAAGCCTAAGTGACAGCTAGCATACAGAGCAGACAGGAAGTTGTGGATGTGAGGAAAAGCCATTCACCTGGTTACCTAGGAGACAGAATGCAAATGTATTTCCCCTAAGTTAAGCTTTGGTATAAAGGCTGTTTTGGAGAATAAACAGAGGAAATTCTTAAGGATGTGAACTCAGGATATCATGAGGGATCTCTGAGAATTTCCCTCCCAATGAAACCATGTGAGTCGTGTTTTTATTCCTGTCTCCTTCATGCTGGTCCAGAGAGAGATAGTTTTTGTTGGGGTCTGGTCAAGAGAAATTATTGATGGTCTGGGCTAACACCGGACCCCAACAATTTTACCACATGACTGAACTGATACTGTAGAGACCAGTGTTTCAGTGAAGACACTTTCCATATCAAACCTAAATCTTTTAAAGATTTTATTTGTATTTGTGTGTGTGTGTGCGCGCGCGCGCGCGCGTGTGTAGGTATGTGTACATGATACAGGTGCCTACCCAGAAGAGGGTACTGGATTCCTGGAGCTGTAGTTTATGGGTAGTTGTGGCTGCCTGCTGTGGATGGTGCTAGGAACTGAACTCTAGTCCTCCTCTGGAAGAGCAGCAAATGGTTTTACCCATGAATACATCTCTCCAGCTCACAATGAAATTCTTAGAAGATTTGAGTCCTAATATTGGAGAAGCATGTGAGGGTATAGTCTGAACCTTCTTCAATCTGACCATTTGTATAGTCCTGAGTGACAGATACCCCTGGTGCGGTAGATCTTAGAAAGTGCCAGCTGCTGACCCAGAGACAGCATCCAACTGGCAAGATGCCAGCAGAGACAACCGGGTCTGGCACTTGGGATCTGATGCTTCTGTGGTACGGCACCAAGATACTGAAAAACTGATACCAGTGTCTTCAGTTCCCAGCCTGGCCTGACCTCTGTTGTGCACCATGAGCCCTCTGTCTTAAGTGTGCCTTGGATGGAGGTCAGCAACAGTAGGAAAACAAGAGCAAAGCTCACCCTAGAATGAGAACCTCAGTTGCAGGAGCACCAGCAAGGCTCACATCTACAAGTGTGATGCAAGACTCTGGCCCCCAGAGACCTGAGATCTCCAGGATTTAGGACAGGACACCAAACAGAACAGCCAACAGGGACTTGCAAGAGCTTGTTCTGTCTATGGCAACAATGGTGTTTCAGACAAACATAACCCTCTTTTGACTAAGGCTGGGCAAGCCCAGTCCCCTGCCTGCGGCTTAGCTGTTAAAGGCAGTAGATGAGCCCCAGAAGGCTGCTTAACTTGGCAATCAAAACTAATTCTGGTATTTGCATTAACTACTGTCTTCCATTTCTGGTGGACTTTGGTTTTGCTGGGTCCACATTTTTGCAAGATCCAAATTGTGCCACCACGCCCATAATTTTCAGTCAAATATAAACACACTATTCGTTTTGTGTTTTTCCACTAAATTCAACTTCTTCAAGTTAATGTGGACTTTTAACGCTACAGTTTTACCTGATTTTTCGCATCAGAGTTTAAACATTTTAGTTAAAAAGGACCTATGGGTAGTTATAATCATTCTCAGGGTTCTTTTTTCTTTTTTTGTAACGAATGACTTGGGTAAAAGACAAATACTCTTGTTTACCTTTAGAAACAACAAGCAAAGCCCAGGAGTGGGCAAATACGGATTTGGATGCTTCATTTAAAAAACAGACTCAAAATACCGTGTTTCATGGCACTGCTTTGGATCCGAAATCCTCGCTGTGTGGATATGACAGCGCTATGAATCATTCTTACCTTCATTTTGGGTTTGTCCTAAATTTACTAAGATTTCTCTGAAAAGATAAGTTTTCCTCAGTTCTTAATACTTCCCCTGCTTTTATGACACCGAGGTCAAGAAGAGTTAGCGTAGTATTAACTTTTTGCAGTTCTTACCCCAACAACTCAAGTGAACGTTTCTAGTTCTTCCTTCCTTCCTTTCTTTTTTTTCCCTCTAAGACTGTGAAACAAAGACTGATGCTTTACAGCAGGGGATGGCATCCTGGACTGCCATTCGAATCTGGACAACCTTTGTAGAAGTGTTTGCTTTTAGCGGTGAAGTTACCAGAAGAGCAGGTCACCACAGGCCTGTGGCTTGTTCTACCTCCTGCTGACCTTAGTGTGTGAAGGGTGCTTGGTGTGAGGTTTAGCGTAACAAAGGCTTTCAAAGGAAGTGTGCAGGCCTCCCGGTTAGGTGCTCAGCAGGTCGGGACAACACTGTAATTGTCTCTTGTCTCTGCAGACTTGAAAACACAACTGTGGTCAATGGGTTCATTTTGGTTACCGTGACTGACAGGAAACAGACCACAGCATTTAACTAAAGGCCGGGATGGGGGTAAACAAACTGTTGTGGAGTCTCAATGTTTGCTCTTTGGACTTCTACACACTATTAAAAATTGAGGGACCCTGTAGTCAGACTGATGAATATCTTGAATATCACCATAGAACCTTCGTCAGGCGACGAATGAAGATAGAGACAGACCCACATCGAAGCACTGGACTGAGCTCCCAAGGTCCAGTTGAAGAGCAGGAGAGAGACTATGAGCAAGCAAGTCAGGACCACGAGGGGTTGGTCCACTCACTGAGACAGTGTGCCTGAGCTAATGGGAGCTCACCAAATCCAGCTGGATTGGGACTGAACAAGCAAGGGATCAAACTGGACCCTCTGAAAGTGGCTGACAATTGGGACCGACTGAGAAGCCAATGATAATGGCACTGGGATTTGTCTCTCCTGCATGTACTGGCTTTTTAGGATCCTGTCTGTTTGGATGCACACCTTCCTAAGTCTGGATGGAGGGGGAAGGTCCTTGGACTTCTCACTGGGCAGGATACTCTGCCCTCTCTAAGGACTGAAGGGGGAGGGGAGGAGGGTGAATGGGGGAGCGGGAGGAAAGTGGGAGGAGGAGAGGAAGTGGAAATTTTGATTGGTATTATTTATAAAGTAATAAAAAATAAAAAATAAAAAACTGAGGGACTCCACGGGGGGTTATTTTATAGTTGTATCCATTGATACCGTAGGGAAGGGTAAGGAAAAAAAGATAAAAAATAACCACAAGTTCCATTATAGGTCACAAATATGATGATCGATTCTGCAATGAAATGAAGACTGAAAAAATTTAAGAGTATTTAACCAGTGCTCTGTAAGGGGGACAAGAAACTTAGACACACGCTATTGTCAGAGGAATGAGGTATCTCTTCAAGTTAGCAATGGAGCGTGGCGTCCAAGGACTGCGGCCCATATTTCGAAAACTGCTTACCAAGAATATTTTTGGGTATCCAGGAATATTTCTTTATTCAGAGACAGGGCATCTCACGGGTGTGCCTGGAACTCTCTATGTAGACCAGGCTGGCTTAGGACTCCTGGAAATCCGACTGCCTCGGCCTCCAGCACTGTGATAAACCACGCCTGGCTTCCAGGAATGTTTCTTCAATAAGGCAGTTCGCGTTCTGAGCCGGTCCTGGCTAACCGGCTGCAGGGTGGGGGCAGCGCCTTCCAGAATACTGAGGCCTAAGGGTTCCATTTTCAAGTCACACTCAGGAGGTAAGCAGTAGGCGGGGAAAGAGAGGGGTCAGCTCGGCATCAACGGTCCGGTTTCCTGCTCATCCCGGTTGGCAGCCGGCGTCCGTTGCCGCCTCCACCGCCACACAGAGGCCGGCCAGGCGGAGCCTTCCGGGCGGCTGCGCGCAGAGCGTAGCGCGCAGGCGCGGCTCACGCAGCCCCGGCCCCCGGAACGGTAAACAGTAGCGTCACGTGACGCGGCCCCGCTCCTGCTCCCGCGCCGCGGCCGCCTCCGTCGCCGCTGTCGTCGCCGTCGCACGCCGATGGCTGCGGGCTCTCGCGGCGCCGCACAGGCTCCACGAGGCGAGCGACCCCCGGGCTCTGGGAGGCAGCGACTGCAGCTCGGACGGGGAGGGCGGCACGCAGGCCAGCCGTAGTGTCGTCACCGCGGCGGCGCGGGCTCTGGAGCCCCGAGCCGAGGCAGCAACGCCGACGCCCTGCGCGCACCCCCTCCGCGGCCCCCTCCTCCGCGGCTCCGCGGCCTCCATCTTCCTCTGGCTGCCGGTGGCAGCGCTCGTCTGCGGAGCGGGTGAGTGGCGGCGCCGGCCGCGACGGGCACTCGGTGGCCTCCTTTCCCCACGCGGGCGGCCCGCGTCCTTCATCCCTCGCGCAGGGGCCGCCCTCTCCTCCCCCGGCCGACCGGCCTCTGGGGCCTCCCCGGCTTGCCCCGCCCCGCCCCGGCCTGCCCCACCGTTTGGCCCGCGGGCTCGGAGCAGAGGTGGCGGCGCGGCCTCTGCGCGACCGCCGAGCCTCGGCCTTCGCCGGCGAGCGTACCCGGTCTCCGCCGCCGCCGCGCGGGCAGGCGTCGTGGGCCAGGCCGAGTTCGAAGGCCCCGGGCCTGGCGCTTCGGACTCCGCCGGCTCGCGGAGCCGGGCCGCACCGAGTCCGATCCCTGCTCCCTCATCGGGGGAGCCAGGCGCTGCGGACCTTGGGGGAACGCGCGCTTTTGTGCTGGGGACCCAGACATTGGACTCCTTTCGCCTAGTTTGAAATGGGAATCCTAGAGTCCTGCCTGCCGACAGGACGTGTAATTTAATGAACCACTAGTCGATAAGTACGTGTTAATGGTGCTAAATAACTGATCATCTGACACGGGGCGGGGGTTGGGGACCCAGGGAGAGGGGAGAGTGTTGTAGCACCTTCCAGCCCGAGGCGCTTTCCTTAGATGGTTACCGTCAAACGCCCCTTCTTGTCTTTGGGTAGCAAAATTCCTTTTCTAGTCGTTATAGTTCGAATGTGTGTTTATTATTGCTAGTCAGTAATCATTAGCAGAGCGTGATTGTGATTTGAGGGAAGTGGCAACAATGCTTTGATGTCTACCTGATGTTCATTCTTCGTACAGATCTTTTAAACAAGGATCGAACAATCGAGACTTTGCCCGCATTATGAATTTTGCTTATTTTACGACGAGATTTTTAAATTGATCACAGCAGATTATATTGCTGCACTTAGTATTTGGGTTCAAACTTTGTCAAGTGTTTTCAGCTTGCAGACCCACATCTCAGTTCCTACGTTTCTTAAAATTCTTAATGAAGTGTTTGGTATTTGGAAGATGTGGATGGTGTGTGTTATAGAAGAGATAGTTGAAAGAAGCAAGTGTTCCGTTGTAGCATCTTTCTGTTTTTTGTTTATAGCGCCATTCCAGAGCACAGATGTTGAGAGAAAAATCAGTCCTCCTTAGCATTTGCTGTACTTAGATTTCCCCCCGCCCTTTCCCACTGTTCTCTTTGCCGGTCCTTTATGTTCACAATGATTCTTCTTTTCATCATCATTACCATTATCACTTTTTTTTTAAACAAAAAGGAATACTCTAGTTTTCAGTGATAGTATCAAAGTAAACAGGACGTTGAGGAGTCATCCTAGCTCCGATGAAGCCACACATTCAGATAATTCTTTAGCAGCAGAAAGACTTGTTGCATAGGTGAAATGGGCTATTTTAAAAAGAGTTAAGTCCGGAGATGTTAAGCTTTATTTTATAGTTGTACGAGTGATGTGTCAAGATAATAAATGACTCAGTGGTGGGACCAAAGTTGTCTCCTGTCCCTTTTACACTTCATAGATGTTTCTTGAAGAGCATGAGTGGTGTAATTTCTTACTGTGCTCTTGCATCCGAGTGGAAGAACAGTGGGTTTATCTATCCATTGCATCGAATTAGTTTATATGTACGTATAGGTTTCTTGAGTACTTAATGCTGAATATTCTCATGCTGTAAGAGAAAAATGATGTATAAATGTAGGTAGGAACTAGGTTAGGTTAAGTTAATAATTTTGGGATAGAGAAATTGAAACTTTTAATTGTTTTTAAAGCCACATAAAAATTAACATAGTCTGGGAATCAGCTAAGGAAAGTTTGATAGCCTTTGATCTCTCTTTGGTAAAAGGTGGAAGGCAGCAAGTGACAGTTTGAAATATAATTATCTTAAGAGTTTGAGATTTTGGAGACTTACTCATACACATAGCCATTCACAGAGAGACGGACAGCCAGCACTCAGAGACATAGGTATTGGGTTGTGTCATAAAGTGGGAAAGCACTACTTTGGAGAGCTCTGCTGTGATTCTTTATGGTCCCTCAGTCTTGGGGTGAAAGTGGACTTGCGAATAAATAAATATACAAGGAAAGGGAATGGAGAGACAGAGGGCCAGGTTTTCAGGCAGGAATATAACAACTCACACTCCGGCAGATGTGCCCACACAGGCTGCGCATGGCTGAGGACTACTGCAAATGTGGTTCAGCACAGACAGAAACTTCAAAAGACTTGAGGTGTTTGTTTAATATGGGCCTGCTTAGAAAAGCTGCTCTATGAAAACCAGGACCATAGTTTTTATGTTTCAGGTGTCTAAATAGGTAATAGCCCCGGCTGTCCTGGAACTCACTCTATAGCAGACTGTGCTTGAACACACAGAAATCTGCCTGCCTCAGAGAATAAAGGTGTGCACCACCACTGCATGGCACATTTTGCTTTCTTAAAAGTACACTTTTCAAGAAGGTCCAGATTAAGCTCCATTATTTCCCTTAAAGTAATTTTTATATTTGAATTTTTTCCTAGAGTGGTATCCCTTTTCTAATGTACATAATCACTTCAGTTTCTTAGAGTGCTAAATATGTTCATTCATCTGCTTTTCAAGAATATTTTTTAATTGACAAATGGCTACTAGCTTTTTTCTTTTTTTAAATTGGAACAAAATATCTTGGGCTTAGTACCCTGTCCCCTCCACGTGCACATCCTCAGAGAAATCCTGAGAAAACCATTAGAAATGTAAGAGATATTAATTTTTTTAACTACAAAAATGACTTGTAAGCTATTAAAAACTTAGGGTGCTGTTACAGTTTTGAGAACAAGAAAGAAAAATACTCTTTAATTGTTGCTGTTTGATTACATAGGGGATCCCAGAGCATTAGTTCACTAAAAGTATCTGAAACCAAGGTGCTCTGAGAGAATGGAGTTTTGAGTGAAAAAAATTTAAAGACATTAGGTCAGAAATCAGTGTATTAAATTGTAGAAGGGAATTCAGGTGTTAGGAATTCCCTGTATGAATTGCCAAGTGGTATTCATTATGTGTTTAATTTTAGACAGTTCTTTGTCACAGATAATTATAATTTGAAGCAGAGTCTCACTGCCTAGACTTCTGGGCCCTGAACTCACATAGCCTATGTTGGGATTAAAGGTGGTTCCACACCTGGCTCAAGACTTAATTTTTTTTTTGACCATTTACACAGTGAAGAATGGCTCTAAGAAAGTAGTTGAGACTTGAATATTATCCAGAAGTTTTAATCTGTTGGTATAATCTTAAGTATATCACAGGTTTCGAATGGCATGGTAGGTGATAGAGAAAAGATAAGCATAATACTGTAATTCACAGTTGTGTGAGGTGAACATGTGAAGCAAAACAGGCTGTGAAGTCCATTGCCAAGTCTTTAGTGGTGAGTTTACTTTTCCTCGAAATGACATGTTCATCTACATCGAGGAGAGATATTTTATTTTTTGTGTGAATCATGTGGCTAAGTACATAATTCTCTGCTTTATTTTGAAAGAAAAGTGAGATACTTGTTCAGCATTTTTACAAATTTCATTGTTGTAAGTTAAAGTTATAAACTTATATTAGTTATATAATATAAACTTATATTAGTAAGTACAGTGCATAAAATAAAATTCAGAAATGCTGGTTCAGAAATCACACTGCCTGTATTGTGAGACCTTTTGAAAATTAATTATTTACTTTAATTTAGTTTTAAATTGCTCTTCTGTAGAGTAGAAACAATAATTGCACCTTCTTTACAGGGTCTGATCAGTGTGTGAAGTACATGTTGTTTGACTGTTAGTGCCATGCTATGATGATATTTCAGTGGTTAATTCAAAATTCAGCATTTTAATGCTACTTACAATATAAAATGACCAAATTTTGAAGTAATTTTTTTCTTTTACCACCTTTGGCTAGTTCAATTCTGCATTTGCAGATTCAGCTTCTGCCTGCTAGTTCTTTTTTGAAGTTCATAGATCTGCTTGAGCCTTTGGTGTCATTGTAGGCAGGGTACCAGTTTTTTCTTTTTATTGGATAAATTCACAAATGACCTTTATCTTCATTTGTGAGATTTTACTGGTAGATTCTAACTCATGAAACTAGAGCAGAGTTTGAAATGTATGGACAATCACTTGGAGGATGGTACCTGTTTCATAATTTTCCTTGACTGTCCTAGAAGGATAACCTAGGATTCGTCTATAGTTTTGTGAATTTTTAAAATAAAGTTGTATGGGTGTTATGTCTGTCTATATGTATGTCTACACATGTGTGCCTGGTTCCTCAGATCATCTGGAACTTGAGTTATACTTTTAATCAAGGATGTGAGTGCTGGGAATCAAACCTGGGCCCTCTGGAAGAGCAGCTGGTGCTCTTAACCACTGGACTATCTTTTTTAAAAAATATTTTTTATTATGTATGCAATATTCTGTCTGTGTGTATACCTGCCTGCCAGAAGAGGGCACCAGACCCCATTACAGATGGTTGTGAGCCACCATGTGGTTGCTGGGAATTGAACTCAGGATCTTTGGAAGAGCAGGCAGTGCTCTTAACCTCTCTGAGCCATCTCTCCAGCCCCCTGGACTATCTTTCTAGTCTTTACCTATAATGTTTTTATACCAGTCCTTATGAAATCACAAGAAATCACCTTGCTGTTATTCAAGTGAGCTTACGCGTTCTGCTTCATATGCTGAACAAGAGGTGTAACTTGTAAGCAGTAGCTTTCTTATAAATTGTTAGTAATAGTAGAGTAAGTAGTACCTGCCTAGAAGTACGATGGTCAGAATTAAATGGCATAATAATAATAATGAGCTGTGCACTACAGTGTCCTGATTAGTAAATACTAAATGAATCTAATTTTACAAATTAAATTTTCTCTGGGTTTAGCTTTATGCTCTACTGCTTACTCTATCAGTTTGATCTTTGCTTATTAATTTTCAAAAATTGGGTTTATAATATAGAGTTATTTCATTAAATGAATATGTATAAAGGAGCATTTCTTGGCCCATACTGT